TCATTCTAATTGTGCTCAGAGCACAAAGCCCTGGAATACAAACAGTGGTGTGTTTTTGTAGGGGTGTCTCTGACCAGAGGAAATAGAATCTTCTGCTACTGCAACATGCTTAGTGAATTACTGTTCGCTATGAAGAGGTGTGGAAAGCAGCATGTCAGGTTGTAGAATAACAATAATGATGGAAATTCAATTCAAAGTAGTTTTGAATATAAAAAGAAAGAAAACTTTTAAACCAAGTTGTCTGTCATTTTATGTATACTTTATGTGCTTCAGGAAAACTACTACACAAATATTTCACAGATTTTTAACATGCTGGAAATTTTTTATACTCTCACCTGTAAAACTGCAGTCTTTCCAATCATAGAACTCAGAAGGTGCCCAAAAGGCATCAGATACTTTTTTCTGTGTCTGGAAGTGTAACAGTATTGAAGTTTTATATTATTGGATAGCCTGGTCTTTAAAAGAAAGATTGCATTGCAACAAGAAATTGAGACTCTTTCCTTGTAATTTTCCCCTCCTTGTTTGGACATGCGATATGTTATTTTAAAACTGCATTCTGTTAGTATATAGAGAACTTAGATTACTGTGATGGCAAGCATGAAAATTTTGTGAGAGAGGTTAGGGTCGTTCCACATTTTAGGGGAGATAGAAGAAACATCCTTTACACAATTTGCGAGTGTGGCTTTGGGTTTTGGGTTTTTTTTTTTAGCCTCACTTTCTGAGAAAATGAATCTGATATATTTGCCAAGCCAGCCAGAGAGACTTTTCTCTTCCAATACCTTTTTAACACTTTAGCAGTTTCAACTAATCTGTCAGGAAGACAGTAGCATTGTATGCAATTATTTCCCAATGAATCTTGTGCACATAAGCTGCTGGGTAGAGGGGGAAATGCCTTGTTAATTCCTGCAACGAAGGGGAGGCTACAGTGGGGTATCAGTGCTTATTACACATCAGAAAATCCTCAGAGATGCAAATCCAGAGACTAGAATCCATTTCTGAGACCAGAAATCCCAAGAAGGATCATTGTTTGCTGCTTTCCAAGCTACTGGTTTATTTAAAATTGTGGATATTTGGTATGAGCTATTAGCAGGATGCCATAATGGGGTGAAAGACTAGTGAAGCAGCCGAAAGTGTGCAATAGGTAAGTTTGCTACGTGAGCTCATCCTGCCATGTGTGAGTTGCAAGAACATTATTTATAACTGATGTCAGTGCTGAATTGACTCATTGGTCTTTTTTTTTTTTTTTTTTTCCATGTAAAAGGGAGTTTAAAGCAGTGGAATTGTTGTGTTCCTAGATGTTGGGGGAACTTGGATGATATAATTGTACTCATGCGATTGGCTGTGACATTGCCCATGTTCTTACTCTTGTCTTTATTCCAGTAATATGTCTGATGCTCTCGCGAATGCAGTATGTGAACGCTGCCAGACTCGATTTGATCCTGCAGAGAGGATTGTGAACAGCAATGGGGAGCTCTATCATGAAAACTGCTTTGTCTGTGCTCAGTGTTTTCGTCAGTTCCCAGATGGACTTTTTTATGAGGTGAGGTCTCATACTGTGTGTAAGAGAAGAGAAACAGCTCCATTAAAATGCAAGGAATTAGGTGAAAATTCTGGCAGAAATATGAATGTCCATCTTCCTTGCATGTTTAAGTTCTTAGCCCTAAACCTGTGTTGCTATTTTTTTGAGGGGCTTCTTACTTAATTTCCTTTTTTTATTTCTCACTTACTCCTTCCTATTTATCAGTAACAACAAGAACTGTGTGCTTGCTCTTTGGGTAAGAGGTATTTCAAAAACAAAATAGAAAATGTTTCTTAGACATTATTCATTAGACATAAGTGATTTTTTTTGTCTTTATTTTTAGACATTTTGTACCAAACTTTTCCTATTGGGTAAATCAAATTGGTGAACCCATTTAAAAATGAGGTTGAAATACTTTTACAGAATATGTGCAAGCATGTATTTTGAATAACACGTTATTTTAAACATCCTCCATTCTTAGTTTGCCATGATTTTTAGCCTCGTGTAGGAGTTCTGAATTACATAAGTAAAAAATGAAAGCAAAGATGAAATTAAAGCCAAATACAGGAAAAGGACTTTGGACACCTCAAAATTTTTACTGTCTTGAAGCAGCATTGCCATTAATTTAACTGTTTGCTACACAAATGCACTTTGAGGCTGAAGCCATATCTGGATATTTCTTCAAGAAAAATCCTTAGGAGTTTAAAAACGGGGGGGGGGGGAGGCGGGGAGGCAGCGCAGCTAGAACTGGAAAATTTGACTGACTAATTCCATTTCAGTGAAAAATCATGCTGAATTATCAAGACATAAGAGTAGTTCAGTTATTCATGAAGGCCTCTTCTCTCTTGTTTTCTTCACAGTTTGAAGGTCGGAAGTACTGTGAGCATGACTTTCAGATGCTGTTTGCTCCTTGCTGCGGAGAATGTGGTAAGATGTGGTGCATGTCAACACCGTGGGCTAACAGCTACAGGACTGTGCAAACCTCCCACCATTGCAATGACATCCAGCCCTGGGCTGGGATTGTTGAGGTCATTTCAAGGAGCGGGAGCTCTGGAGCGAAACAAAGCAGGATACCAGCAGTGATTTGAGGTCTCCTGATTATGGGAATAATTGAGTTTTTTAAAAAGTTAGGCTGAAATAGTTCTTGTGGAATTAAAGTGGAAGGATTATGAAGGGCAGTAGACTTTTGATAAGTGTTTTCTGCATGCATCTTAAGGTGCTGCTTTCCTTTTGCAGGTGAGTTCATTATTGGGCGTGTTATCAAGGCAATGAACAATAACTGGCACCCAGAATGTTTCCGCTGTGAACTCTGCGATGTAGCACTTGCTGACCTGGGTTTTGTGAAGAATGCTGGCAGGTAAGATAAACCGAGAGCTCTGAAAGTTTTATCAGTATGTTATTGATACAGTAGTGAGATGTTGAGTGGTCAGTTAGTTGTACACTGAGAGTTAAAGCTTGAACAGGTACAGAAGAAGCTTTAAGCCTGTTAGGTGGGAAATGGAATGAAGAACAGTGTTCTTCATCCAATGAACCATGTGGAAAGCAGAAACTCAAATTTTAGTAGCTAGTGCATGGGTTCTGGAAAAGAGATTTCAGACAGAAGGCTGAATAGCAAGTGAGAAAAAGGGATTATGTGATCCTGGGCAGTTATTTATGGAGTAAGCTGCTGAGCAGGAAATCAAGATAGAGCAAAAGGCCAAGAGAATAACATGAGGATTACAGCAAAGCCTGTTCAGCCTGTGATTCCCCTGGTCTTTAGAAATCATTCATTTTATATACAGAAATATATAAATGAGTCCTAAAGGTTGATTAATGCATTTAATTAGGAAGTAGAAATAAAAAACATAAAAGGGAACTTGTACAAAAGCATATCATGATAAGAAAATAAAACAATTCATCAGTTAGCAGACAGCATAATTCGTAGTTAATTTCAGGCTTTTGTATGCCTTGAGCAAAGCCTAGTAGTTTCCTGGAGTTTATATTCTCACTAACTAAATGGTGAAGAAGGGAAGGAAAGGTTATATACTTGTGCCCTGTCCGGCTGGGATTCTTCTCAACTTCCTCTTCTCTTCCATCCTGCATGCAAATTCTGTGTGTTAGTTTTTGGAATTGGGCATAATTGATTTTCTTTTGACACTTAAGCTTGTTCAAAGGGTCTGTTGTGGTGTTTTGGGAAAGCAGCCAGGATTGAAGCAGTTCAAGCAAGATAAAGTACGTTTGTTTTCATAATTTGTGGACCAAATCTAAAATGGTAAGGAGCTCATTCCCAAAAACATGGAAAAGGGAGATGTGTGTGAGTATCTGTACAAAAAAAATATAATTCACTTGTCATGTGATTTCTTATAATATTTATTCCGTAGCATAGAAGCAGTCTTCTAGTAAATATTATTGGAAGCTTGTGGGTTCTTTTTCCTGCTTCTCATTGTACCTGGTCTTCCCTAGTCTGCCTGTCGTTTCCAGACATACTCCATGGGATGCAGTTTGTATCAGTGAGGACAGTTAAGAGAACCCCTACTTTATCCATAGTGAAGGAATAGTCTTGCTAGATAAGTCACAAAAAATAATTGTAGAACACCTCAAAGACAGGAATCTTTTCTGAACAAAGTAGAATTCACTTCATATGCTTACTTTTCTTCACTTTTGCCATTTGGGTTCATATTTTTGTGATTTGTTATGTAGCAAAGATGAATGTTGTATTCTCAAACAACCTTTTTCCGTTCTTTAGTTTGAGAGTTATCAGGATATCTGATGTTCTGTAGGCAGCTGTGTAAAAAAGCCAGTGTAGTAAATGATGTCCTCTGTGTGCAGCTTTGACACAATGGCAGAGGGAAGGTAGAAAAGGTAGTGTAAAGTTTAGTCCTCATCTCCAGCTCTGAATGCTGGGAAGAAGTAAAAAAATCGTAAGTCGTATCTTAATTCCAGTCCAGGTTGGGTGTATTGCAGCATTTTGGTCTTTTTTTCTTGCCACCATTTAGTACCAATTTTCTGTCTACTCTGTATAAACACTTTGAATTTGGAGCCTTGAACAAGATGTGCAAGCATGTTGTCTTTTCATCAGGCAGATCTATCTCAGGAGTGGAACTCTACTGCTGGCACAGTATAAAATTTTAAAGTAGGCTGTATGCATTTTGCAGAGGAAAAGTCACTACTGAATGCTTTGGAAATTAAGTTTGTTTTTTTTTGTTTTTTTGTTTTTTTTAAATGTCTGTTTAATAGCCTCTTTGCTGCCTTCCCTTATTCCTAAGTGTTCAGCCCTCAGTTTCACATCTTGGAAATCTGTATAACTGTACTGTTTACAGTTTCAGTAAGACAAGAACATGTGATCTCTGTGGTCAGAGGGGTTCTTGCTAATTGCAGTCCCATAAAAACAACAGAACTTCCCTCCTCAGGATGACTTTGACTCTGGGTGGACTATCTCACTGCATATTTGCGCTCTCAGCTGATTTTGGTTCTTAAGTTGAAGCAGTGACAAGAGTCGTGTTCACAGTTCAGATTTAGCACTTAGTGAGCTTTCATTTGTCTTAAGCTCATATGTTTGAGGCAACATTACAGTCTTTTTAACACAAAACAGATTGCACAAAGCCTCACGGAATTTCTCAGCTACAAAAAAATACATGACTGGGTCAAAGGCACCATTTAGACTCATGAGGCAGGAAGTGATGCGGTTACTGAGTGCTAGAATACGCTGTGTTTCACAGGAAGTTTTGGTCACATTGTAATGGAGAATATAAATGTAGCGATTGACATGATAAGGTACAAAGCAAATCAGAAAGATCATCAGGACCATGATAATCATTTTGATAGCTTTTTCCTTCAGATGTTTCTCAACTCTGTTCCCACTCTTCAGGCTTTGGATGATTAGTAAGTAGCAAGTCACTGTAGTGACAAGTGGGAAGGTGAATGCCACTGCTAAGGACACAAGGGCATGACGTGATACCTTTTCCCTGTAGAGCTGCAGGCAGATGGTTGTGTTTTTCATCTTGACTGTCTGCACGCTGAGCAGCAGAGGTGCCATTGCAACCCCAACTATAATCCATAGAAAGGCACATGCCAAGTGGGCATAAAAGGACCTGCGGAGCTTGATGGACTTCACAGGGTGCACAATGGCTAGGAAACGGTCAATGCTGATACACATGAGGAAGTAGATACTGGCATACATGTTGAGGTAAAAAAGGAAGCCAGTGAGTCTGCATGGGATCTCACCAAATGGCCAGTGATTACCAGAAAAATGGTACACCAGCCGGGTGGGAAGTACCAGCACAAAGGACAGGTCAGCCACAGCAAGATGCATCAGGAAAATGTTGGCTGGTGTGCCTGACTTTTGGTCCCGAATGAAGAGCCAAAGAGCCAGGGCATTGCCAACAAAAGCCAGGATGAAGTCCAGGAAGTAGAAAGTGGCAAAAATTAGGTTCTCGAGGTGTGTCTCTTTGCCACATTGCTCTGACGCTCCCAAAGATAAATTTGATTGATGTGAGCAATTGAAGAGTAGGCTTGAAGGATCTGCTGGGCCATTCATTTTTCACCACAGTTTTGAAGAAGAAAAAAAAAAAAAAAAAACCAACCACCTGAAAGAGTTGAGACAATATATTACAAAAGAGCTTGGTTTTGTGAAGATAAAAATACAACAACAAACAAACAAAAAAATCCTCCCAAAAAACACATGGAGATCAGTGATATCTCTTGTTTGCTAATATTGGTATTTAATATGACAGGTCAGTCTGAATTTAAACACTTATATTAAAATTTATGGATACCTCCTGCTCGAATGGGTTTTCCAGACTGTTAATCTCCATTGAAGAAACCACTATGAAGAGCTAACTAGCTGATTGTGAGCTTGTCTTCAACCTGTGCTGAAATCAATTGAATAACAGAGTAGTGAAATGCTTATGTGTCTGGTTAATGGAAGAGTGGAAGTGGGTTCTGTATGTCTAGCTGTGTTTAATTTGAAAGCCTGATTCAGGACTGAAGAGCTCCGAATGAGTCAGCTTTGTGAGCACAGGTTTCTGTTGTAAGGTGACCTAGCTTAGAACATCTGTCTTGTTCCTAGAAGAGGTGGAAGACAGGTCAGGTATTGCCATTATTAAAAAAACCCCGCAGAGTTCCTTAAAATCTTTGAGAATTGTTTTAGTTTGAAGTCCTGTATTTAAGGCAAATGCATCTAGTTCTAATATAGGAGGAAACTTTTCAGCTGGGTAGCAGCATCTTGTTTGAACAGCAAAAAGCACTGAATTGACTCAGAAAAGACTATTAGTAATGTCTGTGCTGTTGGTTACTTGTTGATGTGTCATTCTTCCCTGCAACTTTTTTCTTTTCCCAGCATAACTCTCTCTCTTCTGCCCCCAAAGGCCTGAACTCCACTGTAGCTTATCCAGAGCCTTTTCCGGGTAGCAGCTTAGTAAAACTGAGCTTAGCTTTGCCAGTATCTCTGTGGTCTGCAGGGTCCTGAACAGCATCAAAAAGTGATAAGATTTTCTGGGCACCTACCCATGTCGTTTTATGCATTTCTCATCTGTGGGTGTAGGTGGTAGTGAAATGCAGGCAGTCTGAGTTTCCAGCATTCTTTCTGTTTCTTGGATTCCTCAGAGGTGTTACAGCATGTGCAGCAGTACCTCCATTGCACTTACCATTGCATTTTGTACTGATTGACCATTTCTCCATAATATTCAATACATCTTTAAATACATCCATTTTCCTTGACTGAGATAAAAATTTTAAGGTGGTGGCTGACATTGTTAGACAAAATTTTTAGTCTTGGGCAGAAGCTATGCTATATGCTGAAATAGTACATCATTAGACAGTTGGTCCAAGGCATTATGCAATGCATCCAGCTTCCCAGCAGAACTGGTTATTCAGATGTCTAAAACTATGATGGCTAATTGAGAAACTGAAATGGGATTAAGAACAGACCAATATATTGGAAAATGAAAACAAAATTCCCAGGTAGTTATCATTTTCATTTGGCTCCTGTCACTTTAAAGTGGACAGAAACCTACAATAAGTAGCTAGAGATTAATATGCTGGACCACTTCTGTTTAGTTCACAGTTAAGAGACAAAAGTCAACAGAAGGGAGACTGAATGAAATACAGAAACTGAAATTTCTTCATATAGCCACAGAGGGGCGTTCCTACTCCATGCATTGGCTAGATACTCTGCATATTTATGGCACAAAAAAAGACTAGGTTTGAGTGTGTGAGTACTCACTGCCTACTGCCAGCTGCATGCTTCTTTGTAGTGCTAGAGATGGCAACAAATTACTATCTTGGGATTGTTAGAAGTTCATGTGCAAGGAAGACTCTACAGCCCTTTTTTCCAAGGGACATTTTATCTGTAAAAATACATGTGAAATCTTGCTTTCGTGTACAAAAGTAAAATTCCCTGTTGCAGTTTTCTGTGTGAATTTCATGGGTTTGCAGAGGAGCCAGCCATTTTTGTTTCTAGTTTTAATTTGTCCCTTACGAAGTAAAACCTGCAAGTATTTTTGAACACAAGATTTTGAAGTTTGTATGTGATAGTTATGTTGAATGCTCAAATACTTGTTGTCCCTGGATGGAATTAGTTTAAATATCTTTGGGATTCAGATTGAGCTGAGTGTCA